AAAATGTTATTATTGAAACATTTTTTTTATTAGATAGTGAGTTTTAAAAAACACTTGTTGGAATTTGTTTTGAGTGGCCAAGTATTGGGCCTGGTTTGTATAAAAATAAAAAGGTGTGTAAATTGTTGTTGGGCTGAGAAGGAATTTTGGCCTGATTTCAAGACACATGCTGGATAAAAAAAGTCAGATTTTAGCGCAGGCCCAAAAGAACAACTACTGTACCAATAAAATATTACGCATGTTTTTGCCGTTAACGAATACTGTAGAGATTAACAATTAATCAAATCCAAAATCGTATTTTATTTTTATTGAATCAAATCTAACAAAATACAGAAATCCAATACAGTCCAAGCCCAGATTTTTCTGTTACATATTAAATCAAATCCAGCAAAATCAATTACATTCAATGGAAATTACAGTGCATCTCAAACCAAATCAAAGTGACAACACAAAATCTGCAAACAATCTCAGTAACAAAATCAGTACAAATCAAAAATCCAGAATCAATTAACACAATTAAATCCATTACAAAAAAAAACTAAATCAAAATATATTACAATATCAACTATAGAATCAAATTAAACCCAATCTCTCAATCAATCCCTAAATCTAAGGTTGACAAACTTCTAACCCTAAATTAAAAATCACTCTATAAATACAGAAAAAAGAAAGTATGCGAGGGGGAAGGAAATTTTTACAGTAGGCGGAAGAACAAGAACAGAAGAAAAGTACAGAAAGAGCAAAGGGGATTACAAAAAAGAAGAAGAATCTAGCGCCGATTGGGGTTTCGATTTCTGAAACCCTAATCGGTCTCCCTTGCTAACCGCTAATCGCCGTTGGTCATCACCGTCTTCACAACATCACCGCCCTTTTCAGCCTCTCATCGTCGCCTCTTCATCGCCAGAGCCACGCAGGAACCTACAACAGACAAAGGAGAAGAAAGATCAGCGCCGGAACTCAGTGGCTCGGAGATTCAGAACAGAAAATCAAGAGGGTAACTTAGCTTTTTGTTTCCTTGTTTGGATCGTTGGGTTGGGGTTCGGTTGGTTTAGGTTGAGGATGGGGCTATGAGGTTAGCGGCGCCATCGGAGATAAGGTTAGGGTTGAGAAGATGAAGATGAGTGAAAGAGAGAGGCAGAGGTTTACTGTAAAGGCAAAAACGAAATGAAAAAAAATGTAAAAACAATAAGTTATATTTGTACATATCCCCTACACGCGCGTGCATGGTAAGTAATATACTCCCTTCAAATCTTGTCTGCTTGATTTTCGTAGGACGGCCGTAAGGCCAAGTCCACGGTAACTCCCATGCTCCCTCACATACACAATCTAACCGGCCTCTCTCTAATTTGCAGTTGGGCATAGCCCATTACTTTTCACACCACCCTTCCCCTGAATTGCTAAACCACAAAACAACAGACACCCCCTGTCTAAACTATGTCTTGGGCCCAGCCAAAATGCTATTTTTGACACCCCCTGTTTACTCGTTAATTAGAATTTACACCCCCCTTGAATTTAATTTATTTTTATAATTCAATTATTGTTTTCTAATTTTTTTTATAAATACACATATATATATTTTATTTACAATAATAATAATTATTATTATCAAATAGTGAATTTATTATTATTATTATTATTATATTTTGATATTAATATTATATATTGTTATAGCTACTTAATTTTTATTATTATTTATAAATATCATTTATTGTTTATAATCCTTTTTATGTAAATATTATTATTAATGTATTTTATTTACTATCTAAATATTATTATATGATCAAATAAATTATTTTCATATTAAAATTGCATATATTATTTTATATATTATTTGCATTAAAATTTTCTCTAATCATGCATTAATCAAGATCTTCTCAAATAATACGATTAAAAAACACAAACAAATCATCAAACTATTTTTCGCAATAAACTAAACTAATCAACTGTTTTTTTGCAAAAGGGTTTCAAACTAGTTTTGACTTACTGCGCACTCAATCAAAATCTCCGCAATCACTACTACCAACCGAGTGCGAGGTGATTCAAAATATGTTTGCAAACCCCTAAAAAACACCAACCCCATACGAACTACGAATTTGGACTCTGATTCCTCATAAGAGGATACATAGACATACGATCGAAAATCGTGGCGAGTCTTTCTAATTAAAACTTAAAATTCGGTTTACCCCAAATCTAAACCTAGAGCTTAGTATCCTTGTGAACAAGGTAGATGAAAGGTGCCTAACACCTTCCTTTCGTCTAATTGAGTCTGAAACCTAGAATCTCTGTCTGCGAATTAGGGTTTTCTGTTAGATTCCTTTCCCTAGGATAAAAACTAATAGTGGCGACTCTGATTAAAAATCCAGTCGCAACAGTTAGTAGACTCTGAACCCATGAGTACAAAAGAGGCTCTTAAGCAGCAAGTCTGGTTGCAGGCCATGAAAGAAGAACTTGATGCTATAGAGAGAAACAAGACTTGGAAGCTGACAGAACTTCCAAAAGGCAAGAAAGCCATAAGCGTTAGATGAGTTTTTAAGCAGAAGGTATAGCTAGATGGATCAATTGGAAAACACAAAGCAAGATTAGTAGCAAGAGGATTTCTACAGAAGCTTGGGTGGATTACTCTGAAGTGTTTGCACCTGTAGCGAGACATGAAACAATCAGACTAGTGATTGCAATAGTTGCTAACAGGAATTGGCCTCTGATTCGCTTAGATGTAAAATCTACATTTCTGAACGGTCCATTACAAGAAGAGGTATACGTATCACAACCTACTGGATTTGAGAAAAAGAATCAGGAAGAGATGATGTTCAAATTACACAAAGCCTTGTATGGATTAAAGTAAGCGCCCAGAGCTTGGAATTTGAAGATTGATTCATTTTTGAAGGGACAAGGGTTTCAAAAGTGTGAGAGAGAGTATGGTGTTTATGTTCAGTATACTTCAGAAGGTAATATGATTCTGGTATGTTTGTATGTTGATGACATATTGCTCACAAAAAGTTCTGAACAAGAGATAGCTGAGTTCAAGAAGGTTATGATAAATGAGTTTGAGATGACAGATCTTGGGAAAATGAATTTCTTTCTAGGGATGAAATTTATGTACTCTGAGAAAGGACTCATTTTGCATCAGATGAAGTATGAACTTGAGTTTCTGAAGAGATTTAAGCTAGAGAATTACAAAGTTGCTATCACACCTGCTGATACAAATCAGAAGTTAAACTCTGATTCTGATGGAGAGAATGTGGATACTACAGCCTTCAAACAGATGGTTGGTTCTCTGAGGTATTTGTGTAATACCATACCTGATATTTGCTATACAGTTGGAATGGTTAGCAGATTTATGAGTAAACCAAAGTGGTCTCATTATCAAGCTGCTGTCAGGATTTTGAGGTATGTGAAGGGAACTCTGAAGTATGAAGTGTTATTTTCGTCTGAAAGAAAGATCGAATCAGAACTTCTGAGTTATTCAGATTCTGATTGGTGCGGAGATAGAGTTGACAGAAGAAGTACTTCTGGGTACTTGTTCAAATTTCTGAGAGGTCATATTTCTTGGTGTTCCAAGAAGCAACCTGTTGTTGCGTTGTTAACCTGTGAAGTTGAATATATTGCAGGCGCTCTGACTGCATGCCAAACTGTGTGGATTCTGAACTTGCTGCAAGATCTAAATATTGAGGTAAATAAACTTCTGAAGCTGATGATTGATAACAAGTTTGCAATCAATCTTGCCAAGAACACAGTATTGCATGGGAGAAGCAAGCACATTGAGACCAAGTATCACGTTCTGAGGAATCAAGTTCAAATATAATATTAAAAGTTATGCACTGTAGCACCCAGAAGCAGTTGATTAATTTCTTAGCTTGAGGGATGAAATTCGTGTTGTTAGTTTCGGGTAAATATAAATTAAGGGATGATGTTAGAATTAATTTATATTTTAGGAATATCTTTTTTAGATATTAATATATTAATTTATATTTTAGGAATATCTTTTTAGATCTTTTATATCTTTGTTAGAGAATATTTATGATTTTATTATATCCTAATTTTGTGTTAGCCTAATGAAATAAATCAATGTAATTCATTGTAAATCATTATTCTTTATTTTTATAGGCGTCATTAAATATTATTTTTTAATGTTTCATCTATTCTTCGTGCACCAACATTATGACTCTACCAGAGCATTGGGCTTTCTATAAAAAGCATGTTCTATACCCTCTTATACTCACTTAATCAATTCCAACATACTCTATCTTCTTCTTCTTCAATCCAACATGGCTGCATCAATCTCAAACATACTCATAGCCTTTCCCAAAACCAAATCCACTTCTCTCTTCGGATCCAATTCCAACCACTTCACAGCCCAAGCACCAAACAAACAAACACTACCTCCAAAGAAACTCACCACAAAATGCACGACAACCCCACAAGTCAACACAATCCCACCTCTAATCAAATCCAAAAACACAAAACTAACCTCAATATTAACCGAACTCCCGGTCGAAAAAGCATGGCGAAAAATCCACGGCGAAGATGATTGGGAAGGCCTTCTCGACCCAATGGACCCAATCATCCGATCCGAACTAATCCGTTACGGAGAATTATCCCAAGCATGCTACGACGCTTTCGATTTCGATCCATATTCAAAATACTGCGGCAGTTGCAAACACCATTACAAAGAATTTTTCTCGTCGTTAGATCTTTCTCACATAAAATACGACGTAACACGCTACCTCTACGCCACGGCGAACGTCAACGTCCCAGATTTCTTCAAGAAATCTCGCTGGCCAGATAAATACTGGTCGGAGTACGCAAACTGGATGGGCTACATCGCGGTCGCAAACGATGAAGAAACAAAACGGATCGGTCGTAGAGACATCGTTATTGCTTGGCGAGGAACCGTTACAAATGTCGAATGGGTGGCAAATCTTCAAAACTACCTTAAACCTATTTCCGAACAGATTCCTTGTCCCGACAAAGACGTTAAAGTGGAAGCAGGTTTTCTCGAAATGTACACAGATCGACAAAGAAAAGACGGTTATTGTAAATACTCAGCTAGAGAACAGGTTTTAGGTGAGTTAAGAAGGTTGTTAGAGAAATATTCCAACGAGGAAGTTAGTATAACGGTAACCGGACATAGTTTAGGAAGTGCAATAGCAACGTTAAGTGCTTATGATATAGCGGAAACAGGGTTGAATGTTAGGAAAGATGGAAGAAAGGTTCATGTTTCGGTGTTTTCGTTTTCAGGGCCTAGGGTTGGGAATATAAAATTTAAATGGAGGTTGGAAAGGAGTTTGGGGATTAAGGTTTTGAGGGTTCATAATAAGCATGATTTAGTGCCGAAATCTCCGGGGGTTTTGATGAATGAGAAGTCGCCGATGTGGTTGTTGAAGATGGCGGGGGATATTGATATTCCATGGTGCTATACTCATGTGGGAGTTGATTTGGAGTTGGACCATAAGGTTTCGCCATTTTTGATACGTGAAGTAGACCCTGCGTCTGCTCATAATTTGGAGGCCCAGTTGCATTTACTTGATGGGTTAGTATTTCTGTCTCCATCCACTCATTTTACATGTGCTCTATCATTTGAGAAAAAAATATCTAAAAAATTGTTTCATGTACATACTTTTTTTTAAACCCAAATGATATAACAACTCAATTAAGTATAAGATATACCGAAAATGAAAAGAAAAACTTCAAAATTCTAATCTAAAATTCGGGAAAATATTATTTTCAGATTCGCGCGCGTTTATTTTATCAGACGGGTAATCGACCCAGTAAAGTTACTGGGTCACTGGGTTACTGGTCGGATCAGTGAGTCACTGATCATACCGCATGGCTTTTGACCCGATTTCTATAAAAAATATATTCATTACCTGAAATTTGTAACTATAATAATATAGAAAATTATAAATTCAAATAATTTAGAATAAACAAAAGTATTAGTAACAATCAAAATAAGTGATAGAAACTTAATGTAGCAAATTATAAATTCAAAGAAGTGATAGAAACTTAACAATTCATAAGTTATAATATTATAATAAGTCACAAAAGAAATAACCTGTTTTTGATGTTTTGATGAAATTTTTTACGGCAAACAAGGAATATCAAATAACAACACCAAGTGGTAGTTTTTGTTGGTAGAGAAAATTGAGAATATGACTTCAATTAGAAAAAGAAAAGACAGAATAAAAAAGAAAACATTTCAAATGCCTAGGTTTGGGAAACGAGGCGGCAAAGCGTTTATGTTAATTTTTTTTTCAAAAGCCCTAAAAAATAAAATAAATAGTCAAACTCGCCGGTTCAGTAAAAACCGCCGGTTCACACCGGTTTCATCCAGTCTAAATGTAATTCCAGTCTTATCCCTTAATTGGACCGCCTGACCCACCGGTTCTCGGTCAGACCGGTTCGACCGACTGGATCGGGCTGGGTTTTAAAACACTGACTCAAACTACTGCGAACTAAATAGCATTAAAAAACAATCGAACATTTTTTGAAAAACCATCAAGCCCATCAAATTGCAATAGATGATCCCAAATTATTTCTCTGTATGTCGTAGAGAACCTTAACCAATTAAAAATAATAGGTCATAACCTATCAAAAAATCACAAGTTACAAATAAATGATCTCTCTGTCTTTATCAACGCCATAATTCATTATGTATTTTTGATCGTTCGTGGCAAGAATCTGTCTCCTAGTCGGATTGTCTTTAGTCGAACTATGACTCAGTAACGAGCGCCATACAAAAATAGATATCTAAAGTGGCACATTCTTCAACCATAAAAAATGAAGATTAGTCTAATTGTTGTTGACGTCAACTTCAGATGAATTATTATAAGTACGGATGAGCGTGTGACAAGAAGAGGGATATAAACTCCAAACTCATTGATCTTCTACGTCCATCAGCAAAACAATTGAGATTAACTGCTCAATACATTCCCTCACTAACTCCCCCTCTCAAATAATTTACCTCGTACGCCATTATCATGTACCTACTACTTTTAGTACATCATTAATTAATTAATTAATTACATGTAAAAGTGTGATAAATTTAGTTGAGTTTATATTTAATTTAAATAATGTGATAAATTTAGTTGAGTTTATATTTAATTTAAATAATATTAAAATTATGATTAATTTTAGTATTGAATTAATTACAATTGTAACTATGAATTAAATTAAATATATACTAAAACAAAGAAAATAAATATAAATATCATTACTACAAAAAACACATTTAATATCGGATGCGAAATGCGTTTGATGTCGGACGCGGAATCGAGGTAAATAAGGGCGTCATTAAAGATTATCTCTTATCACCTCGGGTATTAAAATGCTGAGGGGTTACGTTAACTAGACGTGGGTTCGATTCTCATCCTCGTAATTTTTATTATTTTCATTACTTGATGGCGCGTCAATTATTAACACTCGGTAATATATCAATATTATTACTTCAATTTGTTTGGGAAATCGAAGGGTTATAAAAAAATTTACTTTCGTGTGCACCTGAATTACAAAATACAGAACTGCTGAATACAGAATACAGAGTACATAACCAATGCAAATCCAAAATAGCGCGCCCATTCCTCAACCTAAAATAGAAATATTCATTAATTACACCATATGCAAATCCAAAATGGCACACACTTTATAATTTTACATCAAAACTAAAATAAATGATTAAGAAACAAAAGCAATAAGCCATTTACTTTTAGTGTTTTTGGGTTGAAAAAAGATAAAAGGGCAAAAGATATAGGCAATTGCAAAGCAAATAAATTAAAGACAAGACTTGTAAATGGCTATGAAGTTAGAAATTAAAGTAAAAAGTTAGAAATTACTATGAATTTAGATGTGGAAGCATTCATATATCGTTAAGCTTGAACTCGTTTCTCTCTTAGATGCGGGTACTTTGAGTGTATTGCTCTTAAATATGAAGAAATGCGGCCTCCGACATAAATACAAACATTTTCTTAAATAGAAATCCTAAATACGTAACCGTCAACGGTTACTAGCCTACACGGGGCTTCGTGGAAAGTTGTTTTGAATATTCCCACGTTCTCACTGGCTTGCATGTTCATAATTGTTCCTGCCAATATAAATCCTTACTTCATCGACCTCTGTTCCTGTCCACAGCTGCCTATTGTACCTCACGTCCTTGTCGACTGGCTCCCTTGGTCGATGTCCTTCCCTTTGCTCGACACATCTTGTTGTTTCCTATGAAACTTATGCCTTTTTAGCCTTTTGATCTTACATCTTAAATGCCTATTTTCCTAGTCGAAAATTGCTTGTCAACAAATTGCCCCCCAAAATGTCATGTTCGACAGGAGAATTCTGGCGCTTTCTCTTCCAGATTTTCGACCATATGACTCTTTAGACTGACATCATGCATAATCATGACTACTTTCTGTGCAACAGTTTCCCGTGTCCCTTCAATCACTTCTCATGATCACTCATAGTTTTTAGAGCGTGGTTTTTTGAACAAACCCCACCAACTTTTCCGCTTCTCTACTACGTCATCGTTGGATCAGTACCACTTGTCAATGATTGACGGGTGCAGATTTTCTTTAAATACCCTTTTTGGGTTACCTATATTTCTTCTTCTGTCTTCATCACTTCTTCTTGCTCACAAAAACCCATTCATTTTCTGCAAATTTCCTACAACATAACTGAACATTTCTCTACCATCTTGACTTTAATGGCTGCTTCTAGTCCTGTTTCTGCCGCCACTGGCGCAAACCCCATAACCTCCATCCTTTCAAATGACGCCAACTTACCGGTTATTCTGCAAACAACTTCCATTAATGCACGTACTACTGAAGCTTGGAAAAAACAAATGCTCATCCCGTTTACCATTTCTGAATAGCTTTATGCGTTTCATGGGCCGTATCCAAACCCAAAGAATGATCCCAAAAAGGTTCAGGTATTCTTTCCATGTTATACTCTTGCGAAACCCTTTGCGTTTTCTAAAGATTTCATGCTTGATGTCAACCTCCTACATTTCTGAATGGTCCATTACAAGAAGAGGTGTACGTTTCACAACCTCCTGGATTTGAGAAAAAGAATCAGGAAGGGATGGTGTTCAAATTACACAAAGCATTGTATGGATTGAAGCAAGCGCCCAGAGCTTGGAATTTGAAGATTGATTCGTTTTTCAAGGAACAAGGATTTCATAAGTGTGAGATGGAGTATGGTGTTTATGTTCAGCATACTTCAGAAGATAATATGATTCTGGTATGTTTGTACGTTGATGACATACTACTTACAAGAAGTTTTGAACAAGAGATAGTTGAGTTCAAGAAAGTTCTGGACTCTGATTCTGATGGAGAGGATGTGAATGCTACAACCTTCAAAGAGATGGTTAGTTCTCTAAGGTATTTGTGTAATACCAGACCTGATATTTGTTATGCAGTTGGAATGATTAGCAGATTTATGAGTAAACCAAAGTGGTCCCATTACCAAGCTGCATTCAAGATTCTGAGGTATGTGAAGGGAACTCTGAAATATAGAGTGTTATTTCCGTCTGGAAGAAAGATCGAATAAGAACTTCTGAGTTATTCTGATTGGTGCGGAGATAGAGTTGACAGAAGAAGTACTTCTGGGTACTTATTCAAATTTCTGGGAGGTCCTATTTCTTGGTGTTCCAAGAAGCAACCTGTTGTTGCTCTGTCAACTTGTGAAGCTGAATATATTACAGGTGCTTTGATTGCATGTCAAGCTGTGTGGATTCTGAACTTGCTAAAAGATCTGAAGATTGAGGTAAATAAACCTCTGAAGCTGATGATTGATAACAAGTCTGCAATCAGTCTTGCCAAGAATCCAGTATTGCATGAGAGAAGCAAGCATATTGAGACCAAATATCATTTTCTGAGGAATCAAGTTCAGAATAGAATATTAGAGGTTGTGCACTGTAGCACTCAGAAGCAGCTGATAGATGTTCTGACAAAGGCTATCAAAACTGATCAATTTCTTGGTTTAACGGATGGAATTGGTTTTGTCAATTTTGGGTAAATATAAATTAAGAGATGATGTTAGAATTAATTTAGATTTAATGAGATATTAATTTATATTTAAAAATATCTTTTAGATTGTTTATATCTTTGTTAGAAGATATATATCTTAGATCTTCTTAGATCTTCTTAGATCTTCTTAGATCTTTGTAGAAGATATATTTTAGATTTAATTTTATATATAAATAGTCTAGTGGAGTAGGTTATTGTAATTTAATTGTAAATCCTTATTTTGAAGCTATTAGTAAATATTCCTTTTGCCTTTTATCTTCCTTGTGCACCAACAACATTAAATCTACTTATCAAAATTGAAAAAAATATTTATTATAACAAATAGAGTCTCACACCCGATATATATGATCTAAATACATATTTATAAATCAAATAATCATCATTTTATAAATTGATTTTAAATAATTTGAGATAGAATAAAATCAATTTTTTTAATATATAAAAAATTAAATTTTAAGATGGCATTAGAGTGTGTTCTGTAATAATTTTTGTGTGTATGGTAAAAAATAATTAGTTGACTATTTGATTGAATTTAAAATAAAAATTATATTATATTATATTTTAAATAAAATAATTCATATGAAAGATACAAGAGACCAAAAATAGACATGACATTCCTTTATGATAATTTAGGTGTTTTTTTTTTTTGTTGTTGTGAATGATTGAAGGGGCCAGTGGCTACAACGTAGAGTTAAAAAAACTTATGTTTTGTGAATGATTGAAGAGACCAGTAACTATTTCGTATCAAAGTTTGTATAATAAAAAAATGTTTTTATGTAAAAATATTGAGTACCTAATGAAATACTAATAAACTTTGATGATGATGATGAACAGATACCATGGGAAAAACCGTGAGTATGCGGCAACAACTTATAGAGACGTTGCATTGGTGAACAAGGGTTGTGACTTTGTGAAAGATGAATTCTCTGTGCCACCAAAGTGGAGGCAAGAATTGAACAGGAATATGGTGAAGACTGAAAATGGAAAGTGGATTCTTGCTCAACGACCTCAAGTTGCTGAAACACCTAATGAAGATATTGGCTCTTATCTCGCGCAGATAGGCATCACTGTACCTAATTAAAGCTAGTTCATTCAATGGATACATGATATATACATATAGTACCATAATGTGAGGTGTGTGCACAATTATTGAATATTATCTTTAGCTACTGGTGATAAAAATATCAGTAATGCTATATGTCATGAAGTGGATTGAATGTGATTTTTTTTATAGTTCAATAGTAGTAGCTGGAGTTATATTAGATGTTCTACAAAACTAAAAAAAAGTATCAACTGAACTGTTTTAACTAGACGATTGAATGCGAATTTTACTAGTTATATTTTGCATATATTTTAAAACTATTTTAAAAATAAAATGCATATTTTTCAAAACTATTTTAAAATAAAACTACTCTTAATCACGCAATTAAATATGATAATTCTAAATATATCTTTTGAATTTTGAAATATTAAATTAGATTTGTTAAAATATTAGATTAGATTTGATTAGATTTAATATTTAACTAAGTGGTGTAAATTCAAGTTCAATTAAAGTTGTATATAAATAGTCCTAGTCTGCATCATTATTTGTACAATTTAATAATACATATTATTATTTTCTTATTCTCTTTCTACTCTTCTCATTAAAAGCGTCTCACGCACTAACAAATTGGTATCCAGAGTTTCTGATTATTGTTTTTGATCGAGTTTTCGAGAATTTGACGTCAGAGATCGTGTTACTAGGGCAAGTGAACCAACTGTTGCGAAGATGGCTAATGATAAGGGTATTCCGAATTCTCTTCCAATGCTTGACGATAAAAATTGGATCCGATGGAAAAAAAACAAATGCAATCCTTGTTTGACTTCCATGAAACCCAAGTAGTGGTTACCGACGACGTTCTTGCGTTGGCTGCAAATGCAACTGATGAACAGAGAAAAGCCCACAACGAAGTCAAGAAGAAAGATTGCAAGGCTGCTTATTGCATTTCGACGGCAATCAATGCTGCTAATTTTGACAGAAACTCTCATGCTGAAACGGCAAAGGAGGCATGGGATATTCTGGTGAAGTATTACGAAGGAGGTGAGAAAGTCAAGGTTGTCAAGTTACAAACCTTGCATCGACAATATGAGTTATTGTCTATGGGAGAAGATGAAAAAGTTACAGACTATGCGTCAAAGGTTCAAAAACTCGTCCATCTCATGAAGGGTTGTGGTTAAACCGTAACTGATAAGATGATAGTTGAGAAGGTAATGAAAACGTTGACCTCTCACTTTGATCATGTTATCTTAGCTATTCAAGAATCCAACAATTCTGAAACCACAAAATTGGAAGATTTGGTTGGTTCGTTGGAGGCGCATGAGATGAGGATTATCGAAAGGAAAGGAGTTCAGGACTCGATACAGGTGCTCCAAGCTCAGTTATGGAAAAAGAATGGTGGTTTCAACAAGTTTAAAGGCAAAGTCGACAAGAATCGGGGAAAGAAGTCTTGGTCAAACCCTCATAGGCATCAGGTCGAAAATAGAGCTTCTGAATCCTCGAAAAGAGGAGGAGGAAACTATCGAAAGGACAAAGAAGATAAAAAAGGTGTGCAATGCTATAACTGTGAAAAGTGGGGTCATCTAGCCAAGAATTGTTGGTACAAAAAAAACAAGGGATCAACGAGAAAGAACGAACCTTGCACGCCAAGATTCAGGTGATTCTGAAGGTGGTATGGTGGTTATGGCTGCAGTTGCAGATAACCGTGTCGAATCCAAGATTTGATTCCTCGACTCAGGCTGCTTGAATCACATGACTCGTTGAAAGGAGTGGTTGGCAGATTTCGATGAGTCAAAGAAGAGCAAGGTAAAATTTGTTGATAATAGTTTATTGCAAGCAGAAGGTACCGGTAACATATTTTTTTCAAATGAGTAATGGAGGAAAAGCTATGATTAAATATGTGCTTTATATACCTAGAATGAAGTGCAATCTGCTAAGTGTTGGATAATTGGTCGAAAAAAGTTTCTCAGTTGTTATGAAAGATGGAGCATTGAAATTGTTCGACACCAAGAACAATTTGGTTTTAAAATCTCTGTTATCGAAGAATATGACATTTAAAACTATGATCAGTTCGACAGAGGTTCAATGTTTGAAAACGGTTGTCGACCACAAGGATAGTTGGTTGTGGCATTTGAGGTTTGGACATTTGAATTTTAGATCACTTAATCAACTGATTACTCAATATATGGTTACTGGTATTCGAAGTCTTGAGATGACTGAAAAACTTTGTGAAGGTTGTTTAGTCGGAAAGCAATCCATAAACTCTTTTGTTTCGATTGTACCAATGAGATCATCCTGCATTCTCGAAGTGGTACATTCAGATGTATGTGGATCATTTGAAGAACATACCATTGATGGAAACAAATATTTTGTTTCGTTTTTCGATGAGTTTAGTCAAAAGGTATGGATCTATGTGATCTACAGAAAGGACGGAGTATTCGAAATCTTTAAGAGATTCAAGATACTTGTCAAAAACCAGAGTGAGAAAAGGATCAAAGTTCTGCAAACAGATGGAGGTGGCGAATGCACTTCGAAGATGTTTGAAATTTTTTATGTAGAACATGGTTTTGATCATGAGGTAATTTCTCCTTATACTCCTAAACATAATGGAATTGTTGAAAGAAGAAACATAACCATATTGGACATGGCAAGATGCATGCTGAAGCAAAAGAATTTGCCAAAATCCTTATGGGGTGAAGTTGTTTCGATTGCGTTTATACTTTGAACATGTGCCCTATCAAGATATTAGAGAATAAGGTTCCTGAAGAAGTATGGAGTGGAAAATGACGATTAGTGAGTCATTTGAAGGTGTTTGGCTCTATGTGTTACAAGCATGTTCCTAATGCAAGAAGAAGGAAGCTTGATTACAAGAGTGAATCTATGATTCTGGTAGGATATCATAAGACTGGTGCATACATGTTATTCAATCCAATTAAGGAAAATATTGTGTTGAGTCGAGACATTGTGATTGATGAGAATTCTGTATGGGATTGGAATTCTGATGATGCAATTAATAAGTTAGTGATGAGCTCTGATTTCGACGAAGATGGTGAAGTAGATGTTGAAGGAATTGTTAAGAATCTAGTTGAAGTCGAAGTAGAGGCAGTTACTGACATTCCCAACACATCCAAAGTCAAAGAGGTTGTGGCTAGCACAATCCACATACCTCAACGAAATAGAGTTCCTCCAACAAGACTTCATGAATATGAAGTGGTAGGTGATCATAAACTCACACCAGATGGAGAATTAGTTCATTTTGCTTTACTTCCAGGTGTTAAACCAAATAAATATAGTGAACCTTTGAAAACTAAACAATGGAAGTTAGCTATGGTTGAAGAGTTACAGGCAATCGAAAGAAACAACACATGGGAGTTAGTTGAATTTCCAGCACAGACAAAAGCTATCAAAGTAAAGTGGGTGTTCAAGTTGAAACACAATGCTGATGTGTCGATAGCAAGACATAAAGCAAGATTAGTAGCTCGAGGTTTTCTTCAAAGAGCAGGACTCGACTACTCTGAAGTATTTGCTCAAGTAGCAAGATTGGAGATTGTTCGACTAATTTCATTTAGATGTGAAATTAGCATTTCTGAATGGTCCTTTAGACGAAGAGATCTATGTCACACAACCTTCAGGGTTTGTGATTTAGAAGAAAGCGAGTAAAGTATATAAGTTGCACAAAGCGTTATATGGTCTCAAGCAGGCACCCAGGGCATGGAATAAGAAGATCGACTCATACTTAGTCGAATTAGGATTTGTCAAATGAAAGTCAGAGTATGGTGTCTATGTTCAGGTTATAGCACAAGATATAAAAATCATCTGCTTGTATGTCGATGACTTGTTGGTAACTGGAAATAGCTTAGAGAACTTGTCGAAGTTCAAAGAGCTGATAATGAAGGAATTTGAAATGTCAGATCTGGAAAAATGTCTTACTTCCTAGGCATGGAATTTCAAATGTTGAAGCAAGGTATGATGCTACATCAAAGGAAGTATGTCAATGAAATAGTCAAGAGATTAAAAATGGATGATTTGAATCTGGCATCCTCACCTGTTGAACCAAATGTGAAATTGGAGAAGAATGGAGAGGAAGACAAAGTCGGTGTAACTTTGTTCAAGCAAATTGTGTGATCTCTGAGGTATGTGTGCAACAGTCGACCTGATATAGGTTTCATAGTCGGATTCATGAGCAGATACATGAGTGAACCAACACATGAAGGTTGCTAGAAGAATCATGAGATACTTAAAAGGATCAACAAATTATGGAATATTATTTCGACGAGTCTCTGAAAGCAAAGAAGCAACAATTAATTATTTTTAAGATGTTGATTAGTGTGGAGATAAGAAAGATTGAAGAAGCACAACTGGATATTTCTTTCATGTATTTGGTGCCTTAATCTCATGGTGTTTGAAGAAGCAACCTGTGGTGGCATTGTCATCGTGTGAAGCTGAATATATAGCAGGATCCTATGATGCATGTCAAGCAACTTAGGTCAAATTTATACTTGAAGAAATGAAGATCGAAGTGAACAAACCTCTTGTATTGCAAATCGACAACAAGTCGGCCATAAATCTGGCGAAGAATCCAATTCTGCATGGAAGACGTTAACATATCGAAGCAAGGTTCCGCTTCTTGAGGGAAAAGGTAAATTGAAGTGTGCTTGAAGTAAGGCATTTCTCGAGTGAAGCACAGTTGGCCGATATTTTCACCAAAGAATTGAAGATTGAATTTGAGAAAGAAATTAGGAATATTTCAGATTGACTATTTTTAGAGTATGTTCGACAACTTGGATTATGGAGGTGTGTTGAAATATTAAATTAGATTTGTTAAAATATTAGATTTGATTAGATTTAATTAGATTTAATATTTAAATATAATTCAAGTTGTGTAGACTCAAACCCAGTTAAAATTGGATATAAATAGTCCTAGTCTGTATCATTATTTGTACAATTCAATAATATAAATCATTATGTCCTTATTCTCTTTACTCTACTAACTAAAAGTGTCTCACGCACTAATATTGAAAAAGCTCTTTCAATGGATGTTGTTG